CCCTCCGCGGGCCGCATCTCACCATGCTCCGCGGCCCCGACCGCCTCCTCAGGGTCACCGCAGCACCCGTCGCGGCCCTGGCTGTGGCGCTGGTCTCGTCGCTCTCTCGCTGCTCCCTCCTGGAGCCGGAGGACCCTGTGGTGTCGGCGCTCAGCCCCTACTTCGGCACCAAGACTCGCTACGAGGATGCCAACCCTGGGCTGCTGCCGAACCCAGAGGCGCCGCGGCGGGATCCCGAGCTGCTGGAGGAGACCTGCACTCCCGTGCAGCTGGTCGCCCTCATCCGCCACGGCACCCGCTACCCTACGGCCAAACAAATCCGCAAGCTGCGGCAGCTGCACGGGCTGCTGCAGGCCCGCGGGCGGGGGATGACGGAACCTGCGCTGCGGGCGGTCGCAGCCTGTGCGCCGCGTTGGCCAATTGGCCGCTGTGGTACGCGGACTGGATGGACGGGCAGCTAGTGGAGAAGGGGCGGCAGGACATGAGACAGCTGGCGCTGCGCATGGCCTCCCTTTTCCCGGCCCTCTTCAGCCGCGAGAACTACGGCCGTCTGCAGCTAGTCACCAGCTCCAAGCACCGCTGCGTGGACAGCGGCGCTGCCTTCCTGCAGGGGCTGTGGCAGCACTACCACCCGGGGGTGCCGCCGCCCGACGTCGCAGGTGACCGCCCCGGCCGCCTGGCCAGTGCCTACCCAGGTCCTCGACTTCCCCGACCCGAGCCTTTCCTCACTTCCCTTTCTCCCCAGTTCCCATCCCTCGGGCTCTCATCTCGTGGGATGTTCAGGGCTTGGGTATCTCCGCTCTCCTCTTACATACACGTTCATTCACTCATTCATCACCTTTGAATTTGGCACCTTCTACGTGCAGGACCCTGTGGTAGAGGTTGGGGGATCCAGGAGCGAAGGAAACAGGCAGAGCAGGTTCTGATCACCCATTCCCAAATTGAATTGCCCCCTCTGAGCACCATCCCCGACTTTTCCTCCCAGTCTGGCAGCTAGTTCCACAGCTGGGTGCACTTTTTTCTTTATACAGTCTAGGACTTTTTTCCTCAGGCTTTTGAGTTTGGTTTGGTTTTGGTTTTGGTTTTGGTTTTCACTGAACAACTTTTCCAGATACTGGTTCTAGACCTACAACCTATTTTAGGAAGCTTCTCAAACTTTCTTTACTGTTCTGCCTTTTCCGTGTTTTGGTAGAGTTACTCTCCTTGTAGCTGTGGACTATGGTCATGAGCAAAGCTTTACTGATTTATTCCATTCCTTATACTTTCGCAAAATTTGAGAGATCATCTAGAGATCACCTAGTGGAGCACTTTTATTTCACAGGTGAAGAAGCTGAGCCCAAGAATATGCCTTGCTGATTGTTTTCTTAGTTTGAGGACTAGGGGCAGGCCCAGAATCCAAGTCTTCTGTTTGCCCCCTGAATGAAGCTTTTTCCTCCGAAAATGTTGTAATAGTCACAGATAATAATAATAGCAAGCACTTAGTGCCTACTGTGTGCTAGGCATGCCTAACATTGATTTCACTAAATCCTTAGAACAGCTCTCTGAGGTTGATAGTATTTTCCCTCTTTTTTTTTTTAATAGATGAGGATATAGAGACACTAAATAATTTGCCTAAAATAGCAAGGTATGGACCCAGGAAATCTGATTTAGAACTTGGCCTCTTAACCATTACACTACGTAGCTTCCATTTGTCCTGTGACTTAAGGATAAGAATAAAAACACAACATTTTTGTGCCAGGGAGACGAACAAGTGTTAATACTTTCTTGATCAATTTTAAGGTCAGAGTTGAGGTGAGACTTTTTAGCTTTAAAAGGCCCAAGTGAAAAATAAATTAGTAGACTGGTTTGTCATTTCTCCAGTAGCATCCTCTTTTAAGCAGTTCAGCCATCTCCAAGGGTTTCTTCTATTGACTCTGTGTCATGTTATTGCTCTGTGGGTAACTCGGTTGGCTGACTTATGTTTAGTCACTTGTTGAATCATGCTTTTTAATTATAGCTGGACTTTTCCCATTAATATGAGTGAAAATTCCCCACAAATCTGTTAAATTAACTGAATGTTGAAAGCAGAACATATTTCAGTATAGTAATGTGTATATATACATATATATAGTGTTACCAAAAAGGGGCTGGCTGGCTGCTGGATCTCCTGGGATGAATGAATTTTTGCCCTTAGATGGCGTTGTGAGAATTGGCATTTGCCTCAAAGTACAAAGCCATGGATCAAAATAGTTCAGGATAAGCCACCCTCACCATTTTCTGTCTCAGAGATTAAACCTTTTGCTTAGCTGCTTCATTATTATCTGCAGACAATTGTTTTGCCTGTTGTGTACAACTGGGCTTTGGAGGGAAGCCACTGAATTAGATTTTGTATTTTTACAGAAACAGAACAATGCCTTTGTTTCTGTTTAAAAACAGCAGTAATGAGATAATAACAAGGATGAATTATCCAGATCCACTTAGGAAATCCTACTTTGAGGCCACAGAAAAAGATGACAAAGATTACATATTTTCCTGGTCAAAATGTTTTCTTAAAAATTGTAATCCAGTTGCCAATTAAAGTGGGCAGAATTATTCATTTCAGGGTCTCTTGAAATGTGTACACACACACACATCCAAAGCACAAAAGTATAACTAGATTTAATTTTCTCATTTTATATACAGAAATAGTATACTTGATATACTATTTCATGGTAAATTATTGGAGGAATGATGGTTGAAATCTGTGTGTTTTAAATATGACTCCCAGAAAACTTAAAAGGCACTTCAATAGTTGAAGCTTGATTATGAATGCTTTTCTAGTACATATTTGTTGCTGGATTGGGGAAATAATGTAACATATAATATTCTAAATAGAAAGTTATATGAGAGCTCTAGTTAGAAAATAAACCGAGTCAGAAGCATCTAGCACAATGAAATACAGAAGACTTGAAACGTTAATGTATTTTGTGCTGTTGTCAGTAGTTTTTTATCCAAAGCAGCCTTTTTTAAATTAACACAGGGTTGAGAAAGTTGAGAAATAAAATACTCTACTTAGACTTTGACTTAGAGTAGTCAAACAGATTTCTATTAATTACCCTGTAATTAGAAATTTTGCTAATTTTTAGTTTGCTGTCTCAAATTTTCTGTGCCTGACAGAAACAGTAATTTATAATACATTTTGTACTTTTTATGACTTTCACGTCTAATTATTTTTGTTTTCTTTAGGAAAACATTTATTTCAGTTACCTTTATTTCATAGTGTAGTATTGCTATAACATTTTATTTTTTATATTCTCTGTTTCTTCGGTCTTTTTTAGCATATCGTCTCGTGAATTAACAGTCATTATAGATGGGGACTAGTTTTGCCTTATGTCTTTTGAGCAGTGTATACTTATTTCAGACATACCAATGAATAAATAGGTTTTTAGTGTTCCCTTTCACACTTGAAACAGAATTTTCAATAATTTGAAATTGTCATTCATGTCAGTGGATATATATACACATACATACATACACACTTAATATTTTTTTCTCTTTCAGACATGGAGTGTGGGCCTCCAAGAATTAATGATAAACTAATGAGGTTCTTTGATTATTGTGAGAAGTTTTTAACTCAAGTAGAAAAGAATGCTACGGCTCTTTATCATGTAGAAGCCTTCAAAACTGGACCAGAAATGCAGAACATTTTAAACAAAGTTGCAGCTACTTTACAAGTGCCAGTCAACAATTTAAGTGCAGGTAATGTGTCTATTATCTTGCATTTGAACTCTGAAATAGTTTAAATGGTTTCTGAACTCTGAAAATGAAAAAATATGAAAGCATAAATTAGTCCTTTTTAAAGGCCACAATTGATTTTACATTAAGAAAATGTGTTCTAGATCAAGAAAAGTCTACATCTCAAGCTTACTATTTTTAGGTTCAGATTCTTCTTTGAGTTTTATTTAAATTAATACACAAGCATCTTGCTGTATCCTGAAATTTTTTTTTTTTGAGGACAGGATTATATAAAGCTTCAATTCTAGGCATTATTTATAAAACAAAGATTATCTTTTCTGAATTATCTCCTTATAAAGTGATACAAATGGAAAATCATATGAATTCTTTAGCTTTTGAAGCAGTTGAGAAGTACATGTTAATGTTTTGAGAGGGGTTAAGTTTTAGAAAAGTAGTGAGTTTTTTTTTTGTTTTTGTTTTTGTTTTTAGAATTTTATACCTAGAGGTGCTGAGACGATGAGCAGTCATGTCTGTCATTAAATATTGCAGTGGATGGGTTGACTGCAATTTATCATGCAACCTGGGACACTTTTTAGGGTGAAAGGAGACACTATTCATAATTATGCTAGAAAAGCAGGGTACATGGTCACCTAGCAGTTGGAAATTAAGAAAAAAATAATAAGATTTTTCCTGTTTTCTAGGAGTTTATAATCCATACAGCAGATATTGACAAATATACATACAGAGTATGATTTCATTATATTGTGAATAAATTTCCAAAGACTAGAAGTGGGAGATGCTGGGAAAAAATTAAGACTAGAATCTGCCAGTCATGGAGTCTGAATGCTTAATAAAGATCAAAAAAAGTGAGGATGCCTAGACTCACATTCAAAATTGAGTTTTTTCTCTTTCCTCAATTGGCTTTATATTTGGGTCATCTTCAGAGCTTTAAAAATTATTTTATTTGGGAAGTAATTCAAGTATATAGATAATAATAAAGGCTAATATAATGACTATATGTATATCCACAGCTTAGTTTTATCAAATTTTCACATTATACTTCAGTTAGTTGCTTTAAATAAATCGAGGGCCCTTGGTCCCTCCCCAGGATCTCAGTCCTTTCCTTTTTTTCTCAGAGGTAATCACTGTCATGAATTGAGCATCTAAGTCATCCCATGCCAGTTTTTATATTTATGTTTATGTTTCTATACCTAAATGGGATATTGTTTTGCAGATTTTTAAACTTTTAGGAATGATATCAAACTATGTTATCTGTCTAAAATTTGAATTTAATTCAACTTTGTATTTTTTATTTAATGTGTATTTTTCTAGTCCTACATTTTAAACTTATGTATAGAATTCCATTATATAACTACCAGCATCTAGCCATAATTCTGTTAGTGGGCATTTAACATTGTTGAAGATTTTTTTTAAAAACTATTTTTAGTTTCTGAATTGAAGATTATTTGTATTTTACTGATGGGGTAACTGAGAACAACTTTTTTGGAGCCTATTATAGCCTATTAGTTAAACCTTGTATTTGAACCTTGACTTCGTTATACTATTGACTAACTCTCTGATCGTTGACAAGTTCCTTAATATCTCTGCGCCATAATTTCTTTCTCTGTAAAGCGGATATGTGACTTGTACTTGCCTCATTGGATTATTACAAGGATTAGATGAGATTAATTCATGCAAAGCATTAGCGTTGTACTTGGCAGAGAATAACTGCTCAAAAATATTTTAGCTACTTACTTTTTTTGTTTGCTTAGAGGGGTGATGCTGTATGTATTTTCTGTAACTTGTTCTTTCTTAGCAATATATCTGTCTCATTCTTTTAAATTCAGTTTTTATCATAGGATATCTAATTACATTTTAGGTTAATGTTAGTTAAAAATTTATTTAACCCATCGTCAGATTTTACTGGTCAGAATAGCTGGAGCTAATGCAATCGAAATTCTTTATGTAGGAAATTACTTTCCTAATGAGGTTTTTCTTAGTTTTTACCTCTTTTTAATATTTTATTTATTTATTTATTTATTCATTTATTTAAATAGAGGTACTAGGAATCAAACCTAGGACTTCATGCATGCTAAGCATGCACTCTACCACTGAACTATACCTCCACCCCTTTACCTCTTTCAAGTAATGCTACAGTGAACATTCTTATAATCTGGTTTTTTGCACTTGAGAGTTAATAAGATAAATAAGGAGCATGAATATTTTTTGACATATACTTCCAAGTTGTTCTCTGAAAGTGTAGAGCAATTTGTATTAACAATATATGAAAATGCTCATTTCCCCTATTTCATCCAACAGTGGATATTATTAGTCATTCTGATTTTAGACCATTTGATGAATGATTTAGCTTTAATTTGCATTTCTTTGGTTACCTGTAAGGTTGAATATCCATTCATATGTTTGTTAGCTATTTCCTTCCTTCTGAGAATTGCCTCTTCATAACCTTGACCATTCTCTATTGAATTATTTTTATTTTTTCTTACTGATCATAGGTGCCCATTATATGTTGTGGGATTAATAATTCTATATCCTTTAATAGTGCTTGATAATGGATAAATCCTTTGCCTATTTTATGTTGCTAACTTTTTTCCAATTTGTTGCTTATCTTTTAAGTCTTACTTATGGTGCCTTTTATTGTACAGAAGTTGACATCTTTTCTATAGCCATATCTGTCTTTTAATTATGGTTTATGAGTATTTTATTTTGCCTGAGATTTCTCCCTTACCCCAAGATTATTATGTTTTCCTAGATTTTCCTTTATTTTCCTTTATTTTATTTTATTTTTTTAATGTTTAAATTCTAATTCATCTGAAATATTTTTGACTTTCTGAAAGATTGACCAAGAACTCAGAATGGTCCTAACGGATGGATCAGAGGCATAACTCGTCCTTGACAAATGATTTGTCTAACCTCCTTATTTTGCAGGTGGGAAAACTGAGAGCCAGAGAACTTAGAGTGCTTTGCCCAGGATAATCAGTGGCAGTTAGGTCTCATAGTGTGATTTTTTTTTCTTTCTTTGTTTCTCTCCTTTTTCATCCTTTGTTCCACCTTCCTCCTTACTCTGCCCTTTCTTCTCTACCTTCTGCAGCCTCCTCTCCTCTTTTATATCCTTTTCTGTACTTGCTTCTTCTTAATAGTTATAATATGAATTGTTGTGTAGTTAAGAGAACTATTCAAGGAATGTACTTTGTTATTGCTAATTTTCAAGTTGGGGACTAAAACCTTTTATAGATTTATTTCCCCTCCTCCAACCCTCTAAAATTAAAATCAAGTTGCATTTTATGTAGTAAGTCCTTGGCATTCGGGAGATATAGCCTTTGGAAAATTGCACAAAATAGTAACCCACAAATTTTGCCTTTTTTTTCCCCCAGATTTAATTCAGGTAGCTTTTTTCACCTGTTCATTTGACCTGGCAATTAAAGGTGTTAAATCTCCTTGGTGTGATGTTTTTGACATAGACGATGCAAAGGTAAGCATTACTTTTGCAGTTTCTTTGCTTTTTTTGTGTGATTTTTGTTGTTGTTATTTAAAGCAGGTTTTCAAAAAGTAAGCAGAGTAGGGAACATTACCTGTCTTTGATTATCTCATAATTTTCCTAACATAAAGAGAGATTAATTGTTCAGGTAGGACCTACCTACTTGTGTAAATAGTTTGGGTTCATAAAACTCTGGAAAACATTCTTCCATGGTGATTTGATTTCTAGGTCTACCCAGTTAAAAACCTACTTACCTTATCATAAAATTTTACTTCTGGAAAGGATTATAAAGCTAATATAATCCAAATTCTTCTTTTTGTCAGAAGTCAAAGTTCAGAGAGGATGATTGGTTTTCTAAGTACCTATTCTTTTATGACAGTTTTCCTAATAAATTGAGTTCTGTGTTCCACCTAGTAATGGCAGTAATTCATCTACAGTTTCTACCTGCCTACTTTGTATTCCCTTTTTTTCTTCATTCTTGTGTCTTCTTTGTAGACTCTTAGACTCTAAAAAGTGAAGAACAGACAGACTTCCAGTGACTTTAAGGGAGGCAAATTCTGGTCACTTCTGGGATGCTGAGCACCAGAGAGATGGGGTAGGGGAAGGTTAATTAATTGTTTTCTTAAGCAGTGAGGATTGTGGTGTTGGATAGAATTCTGGTAGGATGTATCTGTATGTATGGGTCATTCAGGAATATGGACTTCTGAAACTTTGGAACCTTCAGTATGCTGTATGAAAATCAATTATTAACTTCAGAATTTAACCTCAAATTTTGAAAAGAAGTGTACTATTTGCCAGTTAGAAACAGGCTTTTAAGCTGAGAGCTAATTTACTTTTAAAGGTAAACAAATGCTCTACTTTGTTACTCAAAGACGTAAGTGATCAATAACCAGATTAAAGGTAATTTTCCGTGGTATTGGGCCAATGTAGGAGTAGAGCTTAGTGGGTGAGTTGGAAGAAGGAGAAAGGGCCCTCGATGGATGACTGCTCTAGGACGCTTAGCACCAGTAGTAATAGGTGTATTGTGTTTCCTCTTTCTGCTCCTGGGTTGCTTCCTACTTTTTCTCTGTCCCAGGTATCCAGTACACTTCTCATCTCCTCTAACTGTCCACAGCTCATCACTTCAGAAACTTCCTGGCCTACCCTCTGAAATGCTCTGTGCTTAGGATGACCATAAAATATATGTTCTAAATTGGAATACTTCTAAATGTGAAAGGGGAACCATTAATAATTATACTAGTTAAAGGTATAAACTGAGACTTATGGTCACCATTTATGTGTGTCAGAATACCTCACCCCCCTTTTCTCCTTAGCCAGATTGCTCTAGGGAAAAAAGTGAATACACAGAACTGAAGTGATTTTCAGCATTGTGTAAATGACTGATGGGTGTTGGCAGAAGGGAAATTTACTTTTTAACAGAAGAACAACCTATTTGCCCAAGTTACTGTAGTTGTTGAAATATTTGGCATGTTCTCACCTGGCCGCCTGCTGTCTACCCTTTTCCTATTTTGAGTAGCTACATCCATGTGGTCCTTGACTTTTAAAGACTGACGGCTCTGCTTTTATTTCCATATCTGTTAAAAGATGCAACTAGTAGGTGACTAAGCTTCTGTGCTACTTACCTTTTTCTTTTCCTTTTCGGATTACCCTTTTATCTCTTTACTGCTTATGAACTTCTCTTTGATTTTTCCCACAACTTATTTTGAAAAATTTCAAACTGACTGAAGTTGTAAGAATGATAGAATGAATATTCATGTCCTCCTCCTGTATTCACCAGTTGCTACCCTTTTTTGCCACATTTGCTTGTCTTTCCATGTATTAGTTTCCTGTTGCTGCTATAACAAATTACTACAGGCTTAGTCATTTAAAATAACACAAATTTATTACTTTATGGTTCTGGCAGTCAGAGGTCCAAATGAACCTTACAGGGCTAAAGTCAAAGTATCAGCAGGGGCCTGTGTTCCTCCTGGAGGTTCTAGAGGAAAATCTGTTTCTTGCCTTTTCCAATCTCTGGAGGCCTCCTGCATTCCTTGTATCACTCCGTATGTATGGCTTCCATGGCTATATCTCCTACTCTGTCCTTCTTGGCTGCTTTTTATAAGGATCCTTTGTGATTATTGGGCCCACCTAGATAGTCTAGGATAATTTTCCATCTTAAGATCCTTAACTTAATCACACATGCAAATTCCCTTTTGTCATGTAAGATAATATTCATAGGTTCTAGGGATTAGGGTGTAGAAATCTTTGAGGGGCATTTATTTTGTCTACCACATATATATAATCTTTTTTTTTTTCTTCACACATCAAGACACTTCATCTTTAAATACTTGGGCATGCATCTAAACAACACACTTCTACATAACGATAGTAAAATATAATTTTATATATGCATATATAGTATTGTCCAATATATGGTCAATATTTGCATTTTCACACTTGTCTTAATAAAGTCCTATATTTATAACTATTATTTAGAAAATGCAGAATATAATCAAGAATCATTCATTGCATTTACTTGTCATGTCTTTTTAGTTTCCTTTTATCTAGAAGAGTGTTCAAGCCTTTCTTTTGTCTTTTATACACTGGCATTTTGCAGGCAACTAGGCCAGTTTTTTTGCAGAATGTCTTTGTGTCTAATTTTTTACTTAAGGTTAGATTGCCCTTAAACATTTTTTATAACAATACTATCTATAGTGCATCTAATCAGAAGAAGTGATATCAGTTTGTCACGTCATTGATGATTATGTGTTTGATCATATGATGAAAGTGATGCTTACCAGATTTGTCCATTGTATAAGTACCTTTTTTCCTTTGTAAGTAAAAAGTTTCTCAAACGACCATGATTTGAAAATTTGAAGTACATATTTGTTGAATTAATTGAATAAAAACTTCCTTTTTATAGTATAAGTAAATAAGTTAGATTCTTCATTTAAAAATACACTGTTTTCTTTTGATTTAGATGTTTTCTGTGGGTTTTTTTTCAGTTATTTGATAGAAAATAATTTATGTATTTCTGTTTAGGACTTTTCACTGTGAATAGATTTATGCACTGAAGTATTTGTAGATGCAATAAAATGATGTCTGGGATTTGCTTCAAAATAATCCAGTGGTGGTGGTAGGGGCACAATTTAAACAGGATTGGCCAAATGTTGATTATTGTTGAAGTTGGATGATGGATACATAGGGGTTCATTATTTTACTGTACTCTATTTTTTGTATTTGAAATTATTTATTAAAATGTTTTTAAAATTAAAAAATAATAGAAATTTGTGAAATATTGATAATTCTGGAGATTATTAGATATCCAAAACCTTATGAAATGCTGGTCTTCATTCAGCAAATATTGTTTGAGTGCCTGCTTTGTGCCAGGCACTTGTGTGAAACTGACGATACTAACATAAGATAGACATTGTCCTCAAAGAACATAACAAGGAGTGAAAGATAACAAATAAACCATGCCAGACAATAGGATGGCTATAATAGAAGTATATATAAGATATAGTGATACACAAAGGAGGAAGCTGATTAATGACACTCAGGTGAATCTTTGCAAAAGAAATGACACATGAACTAAGTACATTTCTGTGGGATAGCTTTTTGCAACTTTGTATGTGTCTTCTACATATCTAGATTTTTTTTTTGTCTCATCTGGAATCAGTTTTCGTATTTAATATTTTCTTGTAAAAGTCATCCATGTCATCCAGATTTTCAGATTTATTTGTGCAATTTTGTACGTTTATCTCATAATTAAAAAACAAATTTTCCTTCTGTATCTGAGATTATTTCCCCATTCTTATTACTTACTTGTGTATTTGTGTTTTCTTTGTTAGTTTAGTGTCTACTAATTTATTATTTTTTACCAAGAAACAGTTTAACTATATATTTTTGAACTTTATATAATGGAATCACGCAGTATGCATTTTTGTTCAACATTATGTTTTTAAGATTTATCTGTGATGCTGCCTCTAGCTACAGATCACTTACTTTCATTGCTGTATAGTATTCTGTTGTATGAATTATCGGTTTTTTAATCCATTATCTCTTTGGCAGACATTTGGGTTGTTGTCAGTTCGGTGCTATTATGAACATTTGTGTGTGTCTATTGGCATTTCTGAAGGTCTATGTCTGTAGTAGAATTGGTGGATCACAGGATATGCAGAACTTCAGATTTGCTAGATAATGCCGAACCATTTTTGGAACTATTTCAGCTTATCTTTCTGTCTTTATGCTTCTTTCTAAATCTTTTTCTTTTTTTTGACTCTTTTTTCAAATGATTATTTTCTTAAGTCTTTGGAATTCATAATAGTATGTTTATTTAATTATAGTTTTCATCTGCTCTGTAGCAGAATTTCTAGGGTGAAGTTTTTTTCTGGCTGACTATTTTATCTGTATAGCAGTCTTGTTTTTAATTTGTATATTTTATATTGATTATTGGCACCTTTTAAATTACTACTCATCTTCGCAGAGTTCAGTTTTTACTTCTCCTGAGGCAGCCAGCTGGGATGGGCAGCTATTCAGAGATAAGTAATGTTCCTTCCAATTTATAGTTACTCTTCTCTGAGATTCTTTGCAGAATGCTGCCTGTAAAGATGGAATGTAAGTCTGTTTCCTCCTAATGGTGTTGCATACTGTCAGGGGAGGTTCCCCTTAGACTTCATTCTCACTGTTTCAGGCAAAGGATTGTTGGATTTACTACTGCAAGTGTACCATGTGCTTTGTTTTTGTTTGTTTTTTTCTGCTAGTTGAAAAAACTTTTAATTCTTATTTTTTATTGAAGTGTGGTTGATTTACAATGTTAGTTTCATGTGTTCAGCAAAGTGATTCACTTATACATGTACATATATATATATTTTCAGACTCTTTTCCATTACGTCATAGTCCAAGAACTTAAATATAGTTCCCTGTGCTATACAGTAGGTCCTTATTGTTTATCTATTTTTTTTAACATTTTTATTGATTTATAATCATTTTATAATGTTGTGTCAAATTCCAGTGTAGAGCACAGTTTTTCAGTTATACAGGAACATATATATATTCATTGTCACATTTTTTTCTCTGTGAGCTACCATAAGATCTTGTGTATATTTCCCTGTGCTATACAGTATAATCTTGTTTATCTATTCTACAATTTTGAAATCCCAGTCTATCTCTTCGCACCCCCCACCCCCTTGGCAACCACAAGTTTATATTCTATGTCTGTGAGTCTATTTCTCTTTTGTATTTATGCTTTTTTT